AAATAAGAACAGTCTTACCATTTCCTGCCAGCTTCCAACCACCTTTCTTTCTCCTCCCCTTGAAGACAGTCACCCAGGCTCCATATTAATAAAGGGTGATATTGGTTTGAATTGTTTTATTTAGCTTTTTTCTAGCTGTTGCTGGAAGGATTTTCATGTTGGAATAAAGGGTTTTTAAGGGCTATTGCCTGCCAAATATACTGAAATTGCGCAGAGCTCTGTACAACTCTCCTTTGATTTGATAATCCTAAATTTTATATGTATTTTAAAAGTTGCCAGTAATGGATTATCATAATGGTTAAGATTATCTGGATGGTATTCAGGATTCTCCAGCAATACTTGGCACATGCATAAAATGCATGTTGCTGTATGAGAGGGCGTTTGCCGAGAAGCTGACAAAAACTTGAGTCCAAACAGATGGGCTAATATAGGTTCTTCCATCGGAATATAGCAGCATGCTTCTGTAAGCAAGAAAACTCCCCTGCATATTCATGCATTTCTTCCTTAGCCATGTTAGTGCACAGGTGAATGAGGGGCTCACTCTGTCATTTACAAAGTGGTTACCCCTGGCCAACAACTGACCTCTGGGGGATGTCCAGTGTTTTTCTGTTAATGCTGAAGTAAACTGCAGATAAGACAGCAGAAGTCAGCTTTGTTCTATTATTGAAACTTAATTTTTCTTGGTGAATGTTCTGTGATCAATTTAAGATGGACTTTTCCTTCCCTTGGCCTGTCATTGCTGTCTAGGTACTTACATACACCCACCTGAAAGTCAGCATGATATTGGTGATTACTCTTATATGATGTGGTAGGTGATCCTTAGTATGTTGGTCTGCTGAGATTATGACTTTCACTGAGGTTTTATTGGTTCAGTGTACAACATACCAGACCGTGTGTTGGTTTTTGTAAGTGGCATGTATCAGTGCAAACAAATCCTGTCCTTTTGTAGTATTTTCTAATCAGTGACATTGATGCATCTGATTAACACATTTTAAACCTTAATGTTTTTTATGTCTCTCACTTCTCCAAACTTTCTTTCTGATTAGAGGCGGTTTTTAAAATTTATTTTCATAAGCAGATAGGAATCTTATTCATAGCATCTAGTTTTCCTTTCCTAAGCTTTGCATTTGAAAAGTAATCAGTAATTACTGATGACTCAAAACTATTATTTCATTAATGTTTTGATGTTGTTTATTTACTTTTACAGGAAATAAATGCTTCTTTGCCCAATATAATAAACAACAAATATGGAAAGAAGGTCTTGTTGTACTTGCTGAGTCCTAGAGACCCTGCACATTTTGTGCCAGAAATCGTCACACTTCTGCAACAGGGAGATGGAAATGCCTATAGGTAACTCTGGATATGAAGGTTATGTCCAGAAGAGTTCACACTTTCTGTCATGATCAGTTTAATTTCATCTCTTTGTATTATACATAAGTAATGTAAATATATGTAATTAATACATGGGTATTATTAGATATGTTAGTCTGTAGTCCTTATTTTTGCATTTTTCATTTGACGTTCATATATGATTACTGTTGACCAGCAGTTTATTAGTTGGTGATCAGCAGTTTACTCCCTTTGTAAAGGGCAAAAATTGTGGTGTGTTCTTTGTTTAAACTTGCCAAATTCAATTTGGCATAGCGGAAAATTTTTAATATGAATTATTGTTGTTTTGAGTTGCATAAAAGTTTATCTGAAAATCTAGCAATAAAAATACAAATTGTTAATTGGAATTCAGTCTTTGGTATTGACATTGAAGAAGGAGCAATTTTAGATGATTAGTGAGCTGTTTAATAAATACATCTCAGTAGCTGAGATAACAATAAATAGAAAATAATAAACAGACTAAATTATTATTGTTAACAAAAAACTCCTATGTGTTTTACTGGCAGTCAGCTTTAAACACCATACACTTTCTCACTCTGTGTGTTTTTAAAATGTATGTGCAGCGAATGTTTAGTTGTATGTAAAACAGAGGGAATAATAATACTTGATTTTGATCTTCCAATAACTCATAACTGTCTCAAATAGCATGTATGTTCTCAATTTCTTGTTCCTTGATGTGCATACAGAGCAAGTGTTCTACAGTAACGTGCTGTCTCTTTCATCAGTAAAAAGAATACTGAACTCCGCCGCCGTGAACTCCTGGAAGCCATTTCCTCACCTTTGCTAGAATATTTGCAAGAACATACCCAAGAAGTAGTGACAGACAAAGCTACCTTTGTCTTAGTTGCTGACATCTTAAGAACAGCTCTTGGTGACATCCAGCCGGCACTAGATGCAATTGCTAATTTAGCAGCAGAAGAGATGGTTCCAGGCGGCTGTGATGGGCAGGTAATGTAACAGAGGACAAGATGCTGAGGTCTTGCAGAGCATTTGCTTATTTTGTGTTACTAAAAGTCTGCTCACTTTTTCCTCTATGTAAGGTTTCAACATACAGCCCCGAAAGCACTTACATGTTAGATATGGCCTCTGTTTTCTGACATTTTCTTTTAGTAGCTTCAGCCAGCATTTCATCTGAGTTGTAGAGCAAGGTACTTCATGATCTTGGATCTTCAGAACTTCTTTAAACACTTCGTGGGAAAAGTGTTTAACGCAGTCATGTTATGCAGGCTGTCTTTTAATGTTAGCATTATGCAATCAAGCAGTTAGTAAATTTTAATAGTTCATTTAACTGTTTACACTGAGAATTATAGAGTCTGTTAGCTTTTAGGAACGTGTATCTCCGTGCAAGGAAAGATCTTAATAATAGCTGTTTGTCTTTACAGTATCGCCCTCTCCTCAGACTGTGCCCTTCCTCTATTTTGTTGAGTTAAACTCAATCAGATATGTGTCTGTAGACTAGAAAAATGCAGTGTACGCTGTTTTTAAGTTAAAGGACCACTAGATCTTCGTAGTTGTGCTGAATTTGCTCTGTCTTTCCTCTTCTTTAAGATATGCATTTTACAGAGCTTTACATGAACTACTGATGTTTTCTGTGATATTCTGTGAACCATACTGTAGTGAATTTCCGAGTCTGAAAATGTAGAAGGTCAGGAAGTTCTTGTAGAGGCAGCTAGACCAAGAGATTCTCCTCACTAATCATAAGTCCTTGAAGGGGTGAATGAACCATTGGTTGATATGGTTTATATTACTGAAACTTAGATGTTACAGGAAAGGTGATAAAAAAATAAACTGGTGATTTTAAATATTCATTTACTTGCATCAAACTTCTTCATATTTGCATTGATGATGACTGAATGGATCAGTGTTATGTGGTGTCTGAGGGCAGAGTGGATGAATCAAGTGGGAATATTTATAGACAGACATCTGACTGTGTTTTGAAACTTCATCATTAACTAATTTGTTTTTGGGTTTTTTTCCCCCTTAAAGCTTCACATTGCAGAGCATCCAGCAGGCCATCTAGTTTTGAAATGGTTAATAGAGCAAGATGAAAAAATGAGAGAGAGTGGAAAAGAAGGTGTGTTGGAAATTATTTGATCAAAAAGAGTAATGAGTTATCTTACCTAAAATAAGATTGCTGCATTTATTTATTTGAATATACTAATATATGGAAAATTTAATATGCCCTCTAAGATTTTCGCTTCTATCTTTTTAATGTTGTGAACTTTTAGATGAACAGAATACCAAGGATATGTTTTGAATTTTTTGCAAAGCAAGTACTGGTCTGTTGGTTTTTTGTGTTGGGGGTTTACTGTGTGCTTAAAATGTCTTGATAGCTTTCTTAAATTACACATCAATTTAAAGCATAATAATAGAAAAATTAAAGTCTTTCTAACAGGAAGACTTATTTCATTAGTGCTTGTGAGCCAAACTGTAATCTTTCCTATATTCATTAGCAGGTTAATGCTTTATAACTGTTATTACAATAATTCATGCACAAAAATAGGACATCTTTGCTACAGGACATTTTATATCCCAGAAGGCAGAGATTTGGCACAGATGTTCTCATCTTAATTTAGCTTTTAAACTTATTTTATTACATAACTGTAAAATCTTGTTGTGTGAATCACCATATCCTAATAGAGATTACTTTTTCCTCATACAAAAACCTCAAAAAATGAAGGGAGGTGGGGGTGGCATAGAATAATCTGGAGGGAACTTCTCTGTGTATAGGGGGCTTTTTTCCTTTGTAGAATTATCAGGCCTTGTTAAACTTTTTTTTTTCTTCTTACTACATTCAGTTATCCACTGTTTCCTTTAAAAATAAGAGTAGGGCTTTATTAAGTGTTTCTGAAAGGAGACACTTTTTCTACTTCTCAAGTGAATGATTTAAAATGTGCAAATGGGAGGCTTTATATGAGTTTCTTTCAGAGACTAGCCTGAGTTGATATCTGGATTTATTTCTGCTAACATTGTGCAATTCCCATTTTAAACACAAGCTATTCCCTTTGGTTTCTTTGTTTTCCTCCAAAGAGTGTGCCATTTGTAACTGTTGCTCTGAGTTTATGGAATTGGCATTAAAAACCAACCAAATCATGTAGGGAACAAGTTGAATAAAAACTGACCTGTTCTTCAGGTGGAATTATGATCTAAAGTGACAGTGAAAAATAGCTTCAGTGTTTGTTTGGAGGTTGGACTTCATTGGGGTTGGCTGGGTTCTTTTGCGTTGCTTACAGATTAAGTTTGCACAGCATGCAAGTTGTAAGAGCAGTTTTTCTGAAGTTCAGTTCTTCAAGTTCAGCTGGGGGCATGAGATCAGCCTACATTCTTCCATTTGCATATGCCATTAGTGTAATGAATCTGCAAGTCAACTTAAGTTTCCAAAGCTACTGAAGAAGTAGAGCCCTGTAGCATCACTACAGCTGAACCAGACAAGGTTCCTAGTGGTTTTCATTCATCAGTAAAGGGTTAGCTCTGAAGTTTTAAGTCACTTCATATGTGCAAATTCTGTTTCTTCAACGTAGAGTCAAATGCTTAAAAATATAGCATTTTTCAGCAGAGATGTGTTTATATTAGTATATTGCATATAATTATCTCTTGTGTTGATATCGTTCTTAAGTTTTTTTCTTTGGAGTGGATGCCTTCTTTAAGACATGAATAGCCCTTGACACCCTATAAAAAAGTAACAGAGTTTGTCTGCTTTATACTAGTAAACTGTCACACAGTGCTGCTCTAGTCCAAGTTTAACCAGTACTTGGAAGTAGTCAAACATCTATAAAGCTATTAATTGCATTGAATAGTCATTTGTGAGAGAAAAACTTGGTGAATACTTGGTGGCTAAAAATTATTTGATTAAATCACAGCTGCAGAGAACTTTTAACGGGCTTCTTTGTATGAAGATCCTGTCTAATTTTTTTTCTTCTCCTGACCCCTTTCCCGCATTTTACAGTTTGCTTTGGAAGAACATTGGTAGAACATGTTGGTATTGATAATATGAAGACCTGGGCAGAAGTAAATCGAGGTGCCATTATTCTTTGTTGGTATGTAAGGCACATGGCTATTTCTGATTAGGTTCCAGTGTTAATTTCTTGAACAGCTAAGAGAACATAAGTTGAAGTTTGTACCAGCAAAATGACATGTTTTGCTCAATGTGTACTGTCTTTCATGCCACAGGTAAGTCTGTGAAGGAACAGGTTGCTGGAAAAATTCAAACCAGATTTGCCATAGGTTGTTTCTTGAGCTCAGGCTTTTGCAGCACTAGGAAGTAGCTCAATGTTGGAAGATATTAAGATTAAAGATCAATCTTATTTTTAAAATTGTGTCTACCATGTCTTGTTTTACAAGCACAAAATTATTCTTTTTTTTTTTTTTTTTTGTAACTTACTGCTTTGTCTTGATGCCTGAATTATGGAGCCTAAGTATGTCTAATACTGAAGTAGAAAAGTGTTTGGAATAGACTATGCAAAAGCTTGTGATGAGCTAACTGGCCCACAGCTTCAAAGCAGTGAACTGTGCAACTAGTGAGATCAAAAAGACCACACAAGAATGGGACTAACATTAATATTTTTTTTTATCAGATATAAACAGCTGTGTTAATTATAGCTATTTTCACTTTGTAACTACCTGTCAGTGCTTTTAAAAAAAAGCTTTTAAGTGTTTGGAATAGACAAAAGCTTTTAAGCTTTTGTTTTTAGCCCGAAGTGTGTGGTCTGTGTTCTGAAACTGCTGGGTCAGCATTGCACTGCTGCTCCCCCTATAGACCTGCACTGAGACAACATGAGCAAACGGTTCAAAAAACGAGCATGATTTTAAAAAATAAAAACCTCTTCTCTCTCTCTTCTGTCTCACTTCTCCCTTTCCTAGAGTTACTTTAGACTCCTTGCTGTTTGCTTTCTATCTCTGCTCTTCGTGACTTTAGAGTGAGGCTGCTGTGATGTTCATGCTCTTTTGCAAGGTCAAGCAAAAACTGTTTTCGCTCATAGGACTTCCCTTAGTTAATGTGAGTTTAATTCTGACTTTACTTAGTCATTATCATTCAAAGCACTGGTGAGAAGAATTGGTAGTAGAAGAGTATTGCAATCAAGATAAAAAACAGTTTATGCAACATCATAATAGTCATATGGATCTGGCTGTTAAGATTGTGCAGCTGTTAGAATAGCACTTTTTCTTTGCCTCTCATAACAGGCCTTTAGAATTTGATAAATGCATCTAATGCCTTTAAGTTATCTGATCCTGTGCACAGATGTTCAGTAGAGATTTGTTATAAAGGCTTATTCACTGACAGTGTGTTGACAGTGACGGTGTGCTTGGACTTTTTTCCCATAAGTCAAGGCTGAGGAGATTCATTTAACCTGTGGTGTTGCTGGTTTATGTACTAAGCTATTTGGTTTGCCCAAATAAATTGTGCAGTAAATTAGTGGAATTTTTTCCATGTATAACAGTTTAATAACTGGCTGTCACTGTGACACCAGTCTCTTAATAGGTTTTGAAGACTTAAGAAAAAAAAACAGGAAATTAGTAATTGCTTATTAGCAAAAACCAGCACAGGAGCCATGTATTTTATGGAAAAACCTGTGAGGAATGTCAGTCTTTGCCTGTCTCTGCTATTACTCATGGCACTGCAGGGTGGGGCTTCGACAAGTCTGCTTTGTTACCAAGTAGAGGAGCTTATCTCCCAGATTCAGTCCAATGTTTTTCATCAATAGTGAAACTCACCTAACAGGAAAGAGATAAAAGTACGGAGGAAGAGTGTGTGTTTGCTGGATTTTTTTTTTTTTAATTAAACCTGAATCCTGTGTCGTTTGAATTTCTCTTGATGACTCTTCAGACATGATGCCCTTTTGTTTAGGCAGCTGAGAACACACAGGCATAACCACCACTTCTGTTCCATTTCATGTGATACCTGTTTACCTTGCTAACCCATAGTCATTTATCTCAAATTTGTTTAACTGCATGTATTGAAGTCAAGAGGTTACCTAAATCATACAGCAATGATAAATTTAATTTAGTCCGGTATAGATAATAACTGCAGTATTTTTTTACATAAATTAATTGTGGAGTTTTAAAAAAAAAAAATTAAAAAAATATCCAGATGCTTCTTTTGTCATAAAGGAGCTCAAATTGCTCAGACAGAGGTAGTTTTCAAACACTACCAGTTCTCCCTGAAGCTATGATTGATTTTTTTGTTTGCTTTGTTGTGGCTTTCAGAAGCCATCTGTCACTTATGTGCAGATTTGAAACTCAGAATTACCCAGTCAGTCCACTTGAAGATTTTTGGCTTTCTAGCCATTTAAGGTTATTCGTCAGTTATAAGCAGTTCATGGCATGTGCTTCATTGCTTAGTTAGCTGGTATCCTCTGGACCCTCTCCATTCATTGCCCTACTTGCATTTAATTTTATTTTATAAGAAAAATTCTGTGGCCTGCTTCTGACCTCGTACAAGCATGAAGAGTCCTAAGGTAATGAGAGGGCTCTCTGCAGACATTACAGTCCAGCTTAGTGTAAATAAAGTGTTGTGAGTACTTGAATGACATGAATGCTGATCTATTTACATTTGTACATCTGACCTCAGTATTTTTTAATTTGTCAGTGATATGTTTCATCAGGGTAGAAAATGGATAAAAACATACTTCACTGAATGACTTATTGATTTCCATTTGTCATTTCTGTAACCTCTGAAATTATATCCACAAAATACATAGGTGCCTGCTTAGCAGGTCTTAGAAGAACTTTGAGAATAATAATTTAAAAATGCCCAAAACTATGTTGGTCTTTTGTCTGTATTATCAGACATGTAGATGTTCTGTATTAAAGATACAGTGTCTTGAAATACCTGTGGATACCAAAAGTTTGAAAGCAGCTTTTTATGTTGTCCTGGTTTTTGCTAGGATAGGGTTAATTTCCTTCTTAGTAGCTAGAAAGTGCTGTGGTTTGGTTTCAGTGAGGATTGTTATGAGAACAATGTGGTGCTTGGGCAGTTTCCAAGAACAGAGGACTGGAAGGGGGGAGTGGAGAAGAAAAGTGTAGTAGTTAGTAAAACCCAGAACTGACAGTTGGATATGCCAGTAAGATATTCTACATCACATTACATCATGTTTAGTATATTAACCAGGATTGACTGGAAAGGGGGGGGATTCTCTCGGGAATTGCTCAGGCTCGCTTTTCTGGGATTGCGATTTTGGTTTTGGGGTTCCTTTTCACTCCTCTGGGATCGTTATCAGCGGGTGGTGAGCAATTGTACTCTGCATCACTCATATAGATAGATAGGTAGATATAGTTGTTATCATTATTACTCTTACTATTATCTTTATTTTATTTTTACTGTAATTATTAAATTGTTCTTGTCTCAACCTACAGGTCTCCTCACCTTTATCCCTATCACACATGTATAGCTGTTGGCAGATGAAGTTCATTTTTAGAAGTACTCAAAATGCAGTCCAGAGGGGCTTGCTCCTTTGTATGCTCTTAGTCAACTCTATGAATCTCTCTATGTTAAGTACTAATGTGTTCAGCATGTCCTTTGTCAGGACTCTTGACTTTCTTGCTGTTATCAGGGGTATGTGACTCGCAGAAAAGCTGAAAAAAGTATCACCCTCACCTATGCTGAATTCAGTTTTAAAGGAGGCCTCTTTATTAAATACTACTGTTGTAGCTAAAAGTGTAACAGAGGTTGCTGCTGTAACTTGTTAGTCACAGTCATAGAAATAAATCTAGAAATAAAGTAGCTGAAAATAGTGGTATTGTCAGATGGGCATCCCATGCTTTACTGCCAGTAGTGTTGCCATCCTGCACAGGACTTGGAGTCCTAGGGAGTCAAAAGTTAAATCTCACCTTAAGCTACATTAATTCCTTTTCTCTCCTACTCAGTTCAGCTTGCCATGTCTAATTCTTGTTTAAAATGTAGACAAGAAACAAACTTTGAGGTAGCTGCAAATATGGGAGCTGTTTGGAAGAATCCCAGGGATTGTAAAGCCTTGTAGTATCATGCAGCCTGCTTGGTACCAGTATGTGGGTGTTAAAGTTTATTTCTAGTCTGAGTTTATTTGCATGCCAGTACAACTTGTAATTCTGTTCTGTATTGCTGGATGTACACACTGGCTGTAGAAGACAGTAAGTTTTTGGGGTTTTTTTAGGCAGTATTTACTCATCATTTTGAAGTAGCAAATTAGGTGTGCCATTACCTCTACTGATTTTGTATTATATTCCAATAACATTTCACTGTTACCCGAAGGAAGGGGAGAAGGACAGTCACTGCATAGGTTGATCAGGATAGTGCAGAAGCTTTTCTTTCCTAATAATGTTTTACATCTTACAATGAATTTTCTTGTTTCTGGAGAAAAAAAGTTATCTGGGACAGCTGGTTTATTTTCCAAAAGTAATACCTAAAAAGGAACAGAACTGGTAAGGCTCTGTAGTCCTGCACTAAGGGAAGCACGGAATTACAATAGTGAAAGTACTTGATGTGTATTAGACATACTTCACTGCAGCGAGTTTCAGGGCCCCCATTACAAGAAAGGCATCAACAACTGGAGTGAGTTTAGTGGAAGATGCCCAACGTAATTGTGGGCTGGATCTCTTGGCCTGGGAGGAGAGGCTGATTCAGCTGGGAAAAGGAACATCTTTGAGGGCACTCAACAGCATCACCAGCACTGGAGGGAGGAGAGCCGGGTTTTTCACAGCAGCATGTGCATGGCTGGAGGGTGAGAGGCAGCGGCACAAGCGCCAGCTGGGTGAGCCCTGATCTGACTCATTGAACCTGCTTTGTGTAGGGATCTGAAGTTCCTTCCAGTCTGATTTATCCTGCGTTTATTCTGTTCTCACTTGGTGTTTCCTGCTTTCTGGGAAGTTTTACATCTTTTTCTAATAGGAAGTGGTGGAAGAATATATAGTTCAGGACAGATTCTTAGATCATTATTGTCTCCTTGCATGGACAGCTTATTTTCCTGTGACCTACATGCTGAACTTTGACATGCTTGGATTTTTCCTGTTTCTTGTAGCCTTCTTCGGAGCACTGAACAAGAAGTGGCAAATACAGTCAAAAAAGGACTGAAAAAGCTTGTCCCAAAGTTGAAGCTGAATAAAAATGTAAAAGGAATAGAAGCATTACTGGAGAAATTGACTTCCTAGGGTAAATGAAGCTAAAAAGACAATTTACATCAATGCAACCAACTGAAAATTCATGAGATTTTGCACCACAGTTGTTTTAAGAAGCAATGTATGCATTTGTAAATTAAATAATTTCTAAACAACTTGCCTGTTGTACTCATTCTGTTGTGTGCAGTACATGGTTGTTCTTGGAGATTGAAATCCTAAGATTTGAGAGCCAGTGGAGACTTCGGAACATGTAATCAAGAAGTTAAATCTTCCTTGATAACGTGCACAAAAATGTTGTGAATCTTGTTAAAATTTGTGTTTATGTTGTTGTGGTTACTATAGAAACAGAAGCATCTGTTCTGGAGATATTCTTGTGTACTGAGCAAATACACTTGTTCTTAATCCCCTTCCCTCCTCGTTTTCTCAAAAAACCAAAGCATTAAAACAACACAAGTCCCATTCTTACCCTGTGAAGGAGCGATAGAGGCTCTCCTCCTTCAGGAACTAACAAGAACAGAATGAAAATAATGTCTCTGACTTTTTTCAAAGAAGGTCCTGAAGGAGAGGCTGGTTATTTCAATGGACCACAGTCTAAGTCTTCTGAAAAGTACAGACTTTTATGCCCTAATAAACCAGAGGGCTTTGGTTGGGTGTTTGGTTTTTTGTTTTGTTTTGGGGTTTTTTGAGTCTTCTTGTAATAGGAGAGGAATTAATTTACTTGGTGTCAAATTCGTGTCCTGTTTTCTATTGTACCCTATTTTAATCTAGAAAAATCAAACCAATATTTTGTTTTATCCTTTTTTTAAGCAAAGGGAGAAAAAAAATCCACTCAAAACTTTCTTGGTAAGACATTCATACAGCATGCTGGTGGTTTTTAGTGCCATGGTGATATACTGATACAAACAGAAGACCAAATTAATTAAATCTCCAGCTGTAAGATGCACTCTTTACTGCTGCTTAGCTTGGTAGGATGTGTCTCCATTTTTAATAGCAGATAGTTAGGAGAAAAAATGGCTCAGATACAATGTCCTCAACATGAATTGCAATGTAACTAATTGGAAATTGCCAGTGCTTAAGTAAACTGGCCTAAGTTTATGTATTTTGCATATTTCAAATCAGTCTCCTGAATTACTGGCTTTATTGTCAGAGGTCATGATGATCCACAGCTATTCCTATAGTCCATCAGTAACTGCAGTGCTTATCACCCATGAAAATCAGATTAGAGACTCAGACTTGCATGCTTAGCCTGATCTGGTTCTCTAGGGAGCACCTGTATATATACAGGTGGTGGAATTGTTAAGTACATTTGCTAGCTGTGTATGTTTAGGTATACAAAGTTTATCCAAAGCAATGAAAGACATTGTTTTAATGATTAATCTCCTGCTTCTCACTGGTCCTGTCTAGGGGGAAAATTTTTTAATATTAATAAAATTACAAGATACCTTATAGGCAAATTAAAAACAAAACAAAAAAAAAAATCAGAAACCCAATTGTAATTCACAGTTTACTTAGGTTAATTTAAGTAGTACATTATACTTACAAGTGTTTCTAACATTGTTTGTTTCTGTTTGCATCTGTTGGTTTACTCATACTTTGCTGACTGTGCTTCCCTCTAATTCCACCTAGGCTTATAAGTAGTAGTAAATACTTAAAGGTTAATCCCAATTAGACCTGATTGACACTGACATTCAGTGTTCGTGCTTGTAAACACATCCTCTCAGTTACTGAAGGTTGCAGCTCATTAGTTTGTGTAATAGAATTTTCTTTTGTGACAAATAAAACAGATCATTTTAATTAGCAACAGATAATGAATTTAAACTGTAGGGAACTGCTTCTAAAGAAGTCTCAGTTACTGACAAAAAACCCATCCTGAACAAAATATGCAACAGATTTTTGACTGAGTAATTAGTGGTAAACAGTGGAAAAAAAATCTGATACAGCCCTTCTCAATTTTCAGGTTATTGAGGGGAATAAACTAATACTTGGAATCTGGCACAGACATATTTCCAATCAAGAGAATTAAAGGGAGCAGTTAAAGTAAGTCATAGATACTAATAACTGAATAATAAAAAACTACATGAGAATACGTATGTGAATCTGATTTGATGCTTTGGTTGTGTGCCTTAATTCCAGTTGCTTTAACTACCAGGCAATTTATTTGCATTTTTGAGACTCTGTATATGATTTATTTCAAATTATGTGTAATTTGGAGTGCCTGACAATTTTCTTTACCACCATTTGAGAAATGCCACTCTTGATTAAGTAGACATTAGTTAAGGTTATTATGAAGATGCCACTATTTTCCTACCAAGGATAGAACATAAATTTTACTGTCAAGGTATGTCTTCAATGTCAGTTGAAACTAAATTCTGAAATAGCTTAATGGAAGGAGAGGAAAAGGAGGTTATGGAGGGTACTAAAGACTGTTTCAGTGGCTTAATCCACACTTCATGGAGTAGATTTATTTTTCCCACTGAAGAAGTTGGTTGAAGGCAGTGCCATTCTGTCCCAGTCTTCTGGGGGTATCTCTATGGCTGTGTGAAGACTGGAGAGATAAATTGTTTGAGAGACTGAAGCAAAAGTATTTTTTTCAGTGTGTTCTATTTCTTTTGTTTGAAATGTACTTGGGCAAGACTTCTGCCTACTTTAGAGTATCCTAACTGCTCAGGTTATTGCCAGCATCTTAATATAGCTGGCTGTATTTTTTTTTTTTTGTTGTTGTTGCCAAGATGATAATGGAAGTGCACGTGCAGCAAGTGTCTGTGTCTGTGCCACTCGCTCAGAAGAGACGCTGTTCAGAAAATTATGGCGCTCTTGTTTTATAGCTGTTGTCCAGAGGCGAAGTGGCTGTCCCCTTGCCCATCAAGAGCCAACACTGCTCTTTCATTTTATGTAGGAGAAGTTGGAGTGTGAACAGCCAATGTTTAATCCTTGTGAATGCTAGGACAGAAAAAGTAGTGATTATTTTATTTTTGGCTCTTAAAAGGCAGAGGACCTATTACCATAGTAACAGTGTATATTAGTTTGTAATAGTGTATTTCGCATTGCCTTGGAAATAGGGGTATACAAATAGGTACTATTGCAACTTAGTAACTCTTGGTCTAAGGTACGAAAGAACCAGCATTTGCTTTTGCTGCTCACAGCATGAGCTACCAACAAAGGCTGTTTTGCTTTTCCACTGACTTTCCACCAACTTCCCTTTTCAAAAGCAGAAAGTGTACACAGTGACTCCTGAGTTTGTTTCTGAGTGCAGAGTTGAGGACAAAGTGGGGTCAGCAGAAAATGCAGAATGATTGAAGTAGCTGGGAAAAAAGGGGAAATGTTTTGTGACAATAAATATACACGTTGTAGGCAGACTGTGACCCATAAGCTGTGAGATTTTCTTTCTTACTCCTGTCCATCTCTTGTCTAGTTGGGTTGTAGACTTGTCAGAATGAATACAAGGCCATATCCGCATATGCACACCACTTGGCACTTAAGGGTTTCTACATAAATATTCTCACTGTTCCAGTGGTATGTCTAAAAAAATTAAAAATGGTACCAAACAAATATTAGAAGTAGATTTTTTTTTTTTGTTTCTTACATCTTTAAAATGGATTAAGTGTTCATTGCATGAATCAGGACACATTTCCTTCTGGCTTCTTGGAAGGAATCTATAGTGTCTATTAGACAATTTGCATTATCAAGTTCAAGATGATTGTCAAAACTTTTTGCCTCACTAGTGTGCACAGCATTCCTCAGCTCCCTTGTGAAGATGCAAAAGTTCATTTACACTAACCATATTATTCTTCCAGCACTTTTCACCTGTTTTCTGCTTGATGTTTAAAGCTTTTGTGTCAAGTTGCTCCCTTACATGCTCCATTCTGTAAGTAGCACTTTCTTTAACAATTATTTTGTTGTTGTTATTTAAAACCCCTTGTTTTGGTTTCAGTGGCTTGCTTTGAGACCCTGGACTTTTTTCAAGATCTGTTAATGGTAGATGCCATTGTACTAACGATCTAGTAAAGAGAAACAGGCATTACTGGGAAGAATTGCTGTTTAAGAAATACAGATCTATTGTACTGTGTTCTCTACCTTTCCTCCAGTTCCTGTAACTGCTAGTTTCATCAGCACAAGCTTTCCTTGACATGATTTATTCTTTTAAGTGTGTGCAAAGTCCCTAACCCACTTTGCTGTAGCATCCAAAGAAGCAAGTAGAGTATCATGTACAAGCTGTACTAGGGGGAGGGACTGAGGGAAGGGAAAGCCACTGATGACTGGGAAACTGGAAACTATGCCAAGTAAACTCAAGCCTTAGTTACCAGCAGCGATTCCTTATATGTGCTAAATTTAACATTATATATCTTTGTGATTTTCTCTTACAATAGTCAAAAGTTTTGTCAAGGGCCATACTAGTTGAAGGGGATTTAGTCATCTTGTCATCTGCTGTCAGGAAAATTGTTTTAATTGTTGGATTTTCATGCTCTTTCAATCTGAATGTGTCTTAAAAGTACAGCTATGCTTTACAAAGTATATAAATCTTAGAAATTCTTTAATTTTCCCTGTCTTCCCCACAGTTGCTTCTGCCTGTCATTGCTGTAGCTTGTCTGTGCTAACTAGAGTGTGTCTACATGGATTACGTCTTTTGTTAGAATAGTAGCATAGTCATAAGAGGAGGGAGCCAACAAGGCCTCTGGGTATATGGATGTGTATGCCTCTGGTATAGAGGTACATTTCTACAGGTGCTAGAAGCATTGAACTAAGGATTCATGAGAAGGTTTTTCTCTGTTTGTAAACCAGGTGCAAACAAGATACTTATGGGGAAAAAAAGTACCAGGGTTTTTAATTTTAAAGATGTACTGATTTATAAGCGTTTCTGATAAAACATTTTTTGTGGAAAAAGTTAATAAGGGAATACGAGAGTTGGTTCAATATATTACATTGATTAAAGTTCCTGCTCCCACTGAGTGGTTAGATGAAGAAGATCCAGTGCTACAACGCCTACTGTTAAGTAATCTTCCCAGCATGGTGACAGCACCAGTTTTCATGTCAGTCAAAAACATTCTTATGGTTGAAATGCTTTTACAGGCTGTTTTATAACTTAGTGTCACCAGTTTTTCCACTCAAGCATTTTTTTTCTGTTTTTCCTCTTTGTTTGAAGAGGTAAAATATT